AAAAGATTGGACACCCTGGTGTAGTCTGTTGTTTCCAGTGTTACTATACTGAATATTGTAGACAATTGTAATGCAGTGGTAAGAATTTGTGCATCTAAATGTATGTATACATAGAAAAAATTCAGTAAAAATATAAGAATAAAAAAAAGATTTACTTTTATAGAACATTCACTATGAATGGAGCTTATAGGATTGGACTTTGCTCTGGTTGAGCTGAGTGGTGAGTGAATGTGAAGACTTAGGACATAAGTCTTCATGTGGTACACCACCATAGACTTTATAAACATTGTATGCTTAGGCTACACTAAATTTATAACGAAAATTCATTTTTTTAGGCAGATTCTTACTCTGTCACCCAGCGTAAGGCATAATTGTGGCTCACTGCAACCTCTGCCTCCCAGGTTCAAATGATTCTTCTGCCTCAGCCTCCTGAATAGCTAGACTAGGCACATGCCACCACACCCAGCTAATTTTTTGTAGTTTTTGTAGAGATGGGTTTTTGCTATGTTGGCCAGGCTGGTCTTGAACTGCTGACCTCAAGTGATCCTCCTGCCTTGGCCTCCCAAAGTGGATTACAGGCCTGAGCTACTGTGCCCGCCAAAATTTTCTTTCTTCAATAATAAATTAATCTTAGTTTGCTGTAACTTTTTTACTTTATAAACAAAAATTGTTTACTTCTTAACTCTTTTGTAATAATAGAACTTAACATAAACACACTGTAGAGTTGTACAAAAACATTTTCTTTTTTTTTTTTTGAGTAAGAATATCACTGTATTTATTTTCCAACAGGTAATTTTTCTATGGCTTCAACATTTTCTTTCCAATGTTAAAAGAAAAAATCCCCAAGTTTAGAACCGGATCACTTGGCCCTTTCTCTTTTTATCTCCTCCCAGTTGAAAATGCTTGCATCTCTTAATGGCCAGCATCCTCGTGGATCTGCAGTTAGGCTCAACACATTCCAGCCGGAGCACAATCTTCTTTGTGGTCTTAGCCTTCTTCCGGAAAATTGGCTTTGTCTGCCCACCATAGTCACTCTGCTTCCGATCATAGCGCCTCTTTCCCTGGGCACACAAGGAATTCTTGCCCTTCTTATACTGTGTCACTTTGTGAGGCTGATGCTTGCCACACTTCTTACAGAAGGTTCTTCGGGTTTTATGTACGTTGACCATCTTTGCAGAAGGGCTGGTCTGTCTGTATGATGAAAACCAGAAACAGCGTCCAAGACACTCACCTCGCGCAGCTCTCGCCTTGCAACAGGAAAGGGAAACATTTTCTTTTATCTTTATTCTATGAACTTTTTTCATATATTACTTTTTTTTTTTTTTTTTGAGAGAGAGGTCTCACTCTGCCACCCAGATTTAAGTACAGTGTTATGACCACGGCTGACTGCTGCTTTGACTTCCCAGGCTTAAGTGATCCTTCCACCTCAGCCTCCTGAGTAGCTGGACTACAGGCATACACCACCATACCTGGCTAATTCTTCAATATCTTTGTAGAGACAGGATTTCATTATGTTTCCCAGGCTGGTCTCTAGCTCCTGGGCTCAAGCAATCCTCCCTCTTTGGCCTCCCAGATTGCCGGGATTACAAGCATGAGCCACTGCCCTCAGCCTACTTTTTTTTTTTTTTAACATGCATTTTTGTTGTTGTTTTTACATTTTAAACTTTTTTGTTAAAAACTAAGATGGAAACACACACTTTAGCCTTGTTCTATACAGGGTCAAGATCATCAATATCGTGGTCTTCCACCTCCGCATCTTGTTCCACTGGAAGGGGCAAAACACACCTGGAGCTGTTATCTCCTATAATAACAATGCTTTCTTCTGAAATACTTCCGGAAGAACCTGCCTGATGCTGTTTTACAGTTAACTTTTTTTTTTTTTTTTTAACATAAGTAGAAGGAGTGCACTCTAAAATAATGATAAAAAGTATAGTATGCTGGCCAGGCACAGTGGCTTCTGCTAGTAATCCCAGCCATTTGGGAGGCTGAGGTGGGAGGGTCGCTTGAGCCCAGGAGCTTGAGACAGGCCTGGACCATGAACTGAGACCCCCTTCTCTACAAAAACTAAAATAATTAGCCAGGCATGGTGGCACACACCTATAGTCTCAGCTACTCAGGAGGCTGAGGTGGGAGAATCACCTGAGCCCAGGAGATTGAGGCTGCATTGAGCTATGACTGTACCATTGCATGCCAGCCTGAGTGACAGAGTGAGACTTTGTCTAAAAAAAAAAAAAAAAAAAAAAAAAAGGAAATACATAAACCACTAATATAGTTGTTTATTAGCATTATCAAGTATTACGTATGGTACGTAACTGCATGTGCTATGCTGTTATACAACTGGCCACACAGTAAGTTTGTTTACCAGCAGCATCACCACAGACACATGAGAATACATGGTGCTATGACATCGTGACAGCTGCCATCATCACTAGGTGATAGGGAGTTTTTAGCCCTATTATGTCTTATGGTACTGCTGTCATGTATGTGGCCTGTCATTGACTAAAACATCATTATGCGGTGCATGACTATCTTTGCCATTGCCCGACAGGAGAGGTGAGGTTTACACAATCCACTCTCATGGACTTCACCAGAATTTGATAAAGCATTCTTAAACTTTTCAGGATGTGAAAGCATGACAATTTGTTATTGTCTCAGCTGTTTGTCAGTGGTAGAAGTTTATAGTGGGCTCCCTGCAGTGGTACAAATACGTAAACTGCTTTGACTATAAGCTTTCTCTTCCACACAGGAAAGCATGTTGGGAGATAATTGCTCCCCACTCGGTGTTTTAAAGCTTTCCTCTTTAAACAAATGGTGCTGGGACAACTGCATAGCCACATGCAAAATAATGGAGTTGGGCGCCTATCTCGTATTATATGCAGAAATTAAAGATGGATCCATGACCTAAATATAACAGCTGAAATCATAAAAGTTTTGGAAGAAAAAATAGAATTAAATCTTCATGATCTTGAATTTATTAATGGATTCTTAGATATTACACCAAAAGTATGAGCAATAAATTAAAAAAATAAAGTGGACTTCCTCTAAATTAAAAACTTGGGTGCATCAAAAGTATCAAGTAAGTGAAAAGACAGCCAACAGAATGGGAGAAATAGTTGCAAGTCATGTATCTGAAAAGGGTCTAGTATCAGAATATATGAAGAGCTCATATAATTCAATAATAAAAAGACAAGCCAGGCGAGGTGGCTCACGCCTGTAATCCCAGCACTTTGGGAGGCCGAGGTGGGTGGATCACAAGGTCAAGAGTTTGAGACCAGCCTGACCAAGATGGTAAAACCCCGTCTCTACTAAAAATACAAAAATTAGCCAGGTGTGGTGGCACGTGCCTGTAATACCAGCTACTCGGGAGGCCAAAGCAGGAGAATCCCTTGAACCCAGGAGGTGGAGGTTGCAGTGAGTCGAGATTGCGTCATTGCACTCCAGCCTGGGCAACATAGTGAGACTCTGTCTCAAAAAATAAATAAATTAATTAATAAAAATTTTAAAAAATAAAAAGACAAACCATCCACTTTAAAAATGGGCAAAGGCCTGAATAGACATTTCTCCAAAGAAGATATGCAAATGGACAACAAGCTCATGAGAAGATGTTCAGTATCCTTGGTCTTTAGGGAAATGCAAACCCAAACCACATTGAGTTACCATGTCACGTGCACTAGGATGGCAGTAAGAATATCAATAATAAGGAAAATAACAAGTGTTGGTGAAGATGTGGAGAAACTGGAACCCCCATAGTCTGCTTGTGGACATGTAAAATGGTTCAGCTGCTGTGAGAACAACTCCGTGGTTCCTTAAAAAGATAAGCATGAATTTCCACGTGATCCAGCAAATCTCCTCCTAGGTACATACCCCTCAAATGACAGCAAGTATACATATATAGGTATACACATGTTCATACACACTAGTCACAGCAGCCAGAAAGTAGAAACAACCCATGTGTCTATCAGTGAACAAAAGGATAAACAAACTGTAGTATGTGCATACAATGGAATATTATTCACCCATAAAGAAGAATCAAGTACTGATATAAGCTATAATGTGAATGACCCTTGAAAACATGTTCAGTGAAATAAGCAGGTGTGTCACACATTGTGTGATTGCATTTATATGAAGTATTCAGAATAGGTAAAACCATAAAGACAAAGGAGATTGGTGGTTGCTAGGGGTTGGGAGGAGGGGAAATGGGGAATAATTGCTTAATGGGTACAGAGTTTCCTTTTGGGTTGATGAAAATGTTTTAGAACTAGACAGGTCGTGGTTGTACAACATTGTGAATGTACTCAATACCACTAAATTCTTCACTTTGAAATGGTTAATTTTATGTTATTTGGATTTCAGCTTTTAAAAAGGTCTACAAAAAATAAGGCTTTCACAGGCTTTGCTGCTTTAATGATTAGTAGTAACAGGTGCTTGGTAGATACCAGTATTTCAGGACACAATTGTTCAGAGTCACTGTCATGCACCAGCATTCCCAGCTAAATTTTTTGTATTTGTCCCTGCCTCAGCCTCCTGAGTAGCTAGGATTACAACCGCCTGCCACCATGCCTGGTTAATTTTTGTTATTTGTAGTAGAGACAGGGTTTCACCATGTTGGCCAGGCAGGTGTTGAACTCCTAATCTCAGGTGATCCACCTGCCTCGGCCTCCCAAAATGCTGGGAATACAGGTGTGAGCCGCCATGCCCAGCTAGGAATTTTTTTTAACAGTGCTGTGTGTATCTTAGTTTCTTCATCAGTAAAACAGAGATGGCAATAGTACCTGCCTTGTAAGTTGTTGTGAGGAATAGAGATACTGGCTATAAAATGGGTGGTACAAAAATGGATGCACCGTAGGTGTTTAAGAAATGATGGCTCTGACCATCAATCCATGGCAGTTAAATGCTGGAGCCCACAGGGGAGGCCAGGAGGATGGCAGAGAATTCTGTTCTGTGGTTTCCCTGTGATTAATGTAGACTCTGGTTTCTTCTATATTCCTTTCCTTGCCCAGTATTGATCCTCCAGAAGGTGGAGAATGGAGACCTGAGCAACAAGATTCTGAAGATCACTGATTTTGGCCTGGCTCGAGAATGGCACCGAACCACCAAGATGAGTGCAGCAGGGACGTACGCTTGGATGGCACCTGAAGTCATCCGGGCCTCCATGTTTTCCAAAGGCAGTGACGTGTGGAGGTAAGGTCCACAGGGGCAAGGACAGCATTTCCCAGGTCCTTCTTGGTGGCACATACATTTCAAGACTTGGAGAATTGAGGTTACATAGAAACCCCGGCACCCAAAATAGGTCTAAGTGACGTCCCCCCAGAGTTATCTATGCTAATTCCCGTGTTGCCAGGGGACAGTTTCTAATGCTTTCATCTACCAAAAAAAATCCCTCAAGTGTTATACGCAGGCCGCTTTGTGCTGGTGACTGCTCCCTAGGAAAGGCCAATAGATTCCAGGGGCAACATGTACTCCCATCTCTGCCCTGTAAGATGGGAAGGATACTCAGTCCCTTCTGGAGATCTTCATGAGGATCAGCCTGGCTTGCTCAGCAACAGTGCTAGGCTTTCGTGGCTGTTACTGCTGAACTTGGGAAGGGGATTGACCCAATGTCCTTACTCTAAGCTCCTGAACCAATGACTATTCTTTGTGCAATCTCTTTCTCTTGATGGCCTAAAATTATCTTTTCCAGGTATCTAGTTAATCTTTTAGTCAATGCTCTATCTGTTGACATTGACCCAGAAATGGGAAAAAACAGTTCCCAAGTACGTACCCAGAACTGCAGAGCCATAGACTAGAAATGACCAGCCATCCTCCTAGTAAATATGAGCCCAAAAGGTTGCAAGGAAATAGGTCTAAAGATTTTCCCAGCTGAGGAAGGATGAGCAGCTACCCAGTATATGTCGTCATGGCTGTGAGACAGTAGCATCACCTTGGTATACAAAAGAAAAGATTGAAGCTTATCACTGTATATCAGTCCATGGAGTTATTGTCCTGACATGTTGTAAAGTGAGCTTCTGTGTGTGTGTGCGTGTGCGTGTGTATTTTAAATAATTTAAAAATATTTATTGAGCTATTATTCATCTTGAGCTATTATTCACATACCGTAAAGCTCATCCTTTGTACACTTTAGAGTGTATAAGTTGGCCATACACAGTGGCTCATACCTGTAATCCCAGGACTTTGGGAGGTTACAGTGGGAAGATCTCTTGGGCCCAGGAGTTTGGACCAACCTGGGCAACGTAGTGAGACCCCCATCTCTACAAAAAATTTAAAAATCAGCCAGGTATGGTGGCATGCACCTGTAGTCCCAGCTACTCAGGAGGCTGAGATGGGAGGATTACCTGAGCCTGGGAGGTTGAGGCTGCAGTGAACTGTGATTGCACCATTGCACTTCAGCCTTGGTGACAGTGAGACCCTATCTCAAGAAGTAAATAAGCATGTAAGTCAATGGTTTTTAGTATATTTAAAAGGTGTATATGGGTCACTTGTTATTAGTTTCCTAGGGCTGCTATAGCAAATTACTGAACCTAGTGGCTTAAAGCAACAAAGTACATGCTTTTGTAGTTTGGAGACCAGAAGCTTGAAAGTGATATGGGCAAGGCCACACCCTCCAGAGACTCTAGTGGAGATAATGATTCAAATAAGGATTCTGGGTATTAGGACATGGACATAGCTTTAAGGGTCACCATTCAGCCCATTACAACCACTTTCTATTTCCAGAACTTTTTTTTTTTTTTTTTTTTTTTTTTTTTTTTTTTTTTTTTAGCTCCTCAGCTGTTGTTAGTGTATTTTATGTGTGGCCCAAGACATTTCTTCCAATATGGCCCAGGGAAGCCAAAAGATTGGACACCCTGGTGTAGTCTGTTGTTTCCAGTGTTACTATACTGAATATTGTAGACAATTGTAATGCAGTGGTAAGAATTTGTGCATCTAAATGTATGTATACATAGAAAAAATTCAGTAAAAATATAAGAATAAAAAAAAGATTTACTTTTATAGAACATTCACTATGAATGGAGCTTATAGGATTGGACTTTGCTCTGGTTGAGCTGAGTGGTGAGTGAATGTGAAGACTTAGGACATAAGTCTTCATGTGGTACACCACCATAGACTTTATAAACATTGTATGCTTAGGCTACACTAAATTTATAACGAAAATTCATTTTTTTAGGCAGATTCTTACTCTGTCACCCAGCGTAAGGCATAATTGTGGCTCACTGCAACCTCTGCCTCCCAGGTTCAAATGATTCTTCTGCCTCAGCCTCCTGAATAGCTAGACTAGGCACATGCCACCACACCCAGCTAATTTTTTGTAGTTTTTGTAGAGATGGGTTTTTGCTATGTTGGCCAGGCTGGTCTTGAACTGCTGACCTCAAGTGATCCTCCTGCCTTGGCCTCCCAAAGTGGATTACAGGCCTGAGCTACTGTGCCCGCCAAAATTTTCTTTCTTCAATAATAAATTAATCTTAGTTTGCTGTAACTTTTTTACTTTATAAACAAAAATTGTTTACTTCTTAACTCTTTTGTAATAATAGAACTTAACATAAACACACTGTAGAGTTGTACAAAAACATTTTCTTTTTTTTTTTTTGAGTAAGAATATCACTGTATTTATTTTCCAACAGGTAATTTTTCTATGGCTTCAACATTTTCTTTCCAATGTTAAAAGAAAAAATCCCCAAGTTTAGAACCGGATCACTTGGCCCTTTCTCTTTTTATCTCCTCCCAGTTGAAAATGCTTGCATCTCTTAATGGCCAGCATCCTCGTGGATCTGCAGTTAGGCTCAACACATTCCAGCCGGAGCACAATCTTCTTTGTGGTCTTAGCCTTCTTCCGGAAAATTGGCTTTGTCTGCCCACCATAGTCACTCTGCTTCCGATCATAGCGCCTCTTTCCCTGGGCACACAAGGAATTCTTGCCCTTCTTATACTGTGTCACTTTGTGAGGCTGATGCTTGCCACACTTCTTACAGAAGGTTCTTCGGGTTTTATGTACGTTGACCATCTTTGCAGAAGGGCTGGTCTGTCTGTATGATGAAAACCAGAAACAGCGTCCAAGACACTCACCTCGCGCAGCTCTCGCCTTGCAACAGGAAAGGGAAACATTTTCTTTTATCTTTATTCTATGAACTTTTTTCATATATTACTTTTTTTTTTTTTTTTTGAGAGAGAGGTCTCACTCTGCCCCCCAGATTTCAGTACAGTGTTATGACCACGGCTGACTGCTGCTTTGACTTCCCAGGCTTAAGTGATCCTTCCACCTCAGCCTCCTGAGTAGCTGGACTACAGGCATACACCACCATACCTGGCTAATTCTTCAATATCTTTGTAGAGACAGGATTTCATTATGTTTCCCAGGCTGGTCTCTAGCTCCTGGGCTCAAGCAATCCTCCCTCTTTGGCCTCCCAGATTGCCGGGATTACAAGCATGAGCCACTGCCCTCAGCCTACTTTTTTTTTTTTTTAACATGCATTTTTGTTGTTGTTTTTACATTTTAAACTTTTTTGTTAAAAACTAAGATGGAAACACACACTTTAGCCTTGTTCTATACAGGGTCAAGATCATCAATATCGTGGTCTTCCACCTCCGCATCTTGTTCCACTGGAAGGGGCAAAACACACCTGGAGCTGTTATCTCCTATAATAACAATGCTTTCTTCTGAAATACTTCCGGAAGAACCTGCCTGATGCTGTTTTACAGTTAACTTTTTTTTTTTTTTT